CCAGTCGTAAACTCACGGGCTCGTCTAGTTCCCACCATGTGCTGGTGCTTATCCTCCGACTTCGCCAGCTTTGCGCCCATCCGTATCTCATTCTCGTGCGTCTTTGCCTGTCTGCGTGCGCCGATGACTGAGTAGCCTGTTGACTTACAGGAAAGCGCGCAAGGGTTCGATGACCCGACAATGATCATGGGGTCAGAAATGGAGAAAGAGGTATCACGCGCTACAGCCGCCATGGGGGCGCCATGGGTGCGAAATGTGCGTGTCCTAATCCTGTTCGCGGGTATCATGGTTGCTTGTGAGCTTGCCGAGGGAGCCTCCGACAACCCATTTCCGAAGCGGACGCTCGCTGTCGCGGTTATGGGTTGCGAGAGCTTATATGACGGGATCACGTTCGAGGGGCTCGGGATCAGTCAACGTGAGAGAATTTGTTCGAGAACGTGAGAGCGGCACAGGCTGGGTCCTGAAACGTGGGCCGAGGAAGAGCAGAAGAACATTGCGCTCCCACTTTAGCCGACGAGCAGAACGGATGTCGGGGCGGGCCGCGCGGGAATCCAGGTTCAGGGCGCGCGGGTGCACCCGACGCATCTCTCTTTCGTGCGCAGCTGACCCTTTCGTGGTTTCGCAGATCAAGGATCGTTACCTGCAGCGAGCTTGCGCGCTCGACTTTGATTGGGATGACGAGTCGGACGCGGCCATGTGTTGCAAGTGCGGAGACTGTGCGTCGTTTTCTCCCTCGATGCACCTGTCTCCGTCCGCTTATCACATGCGCAGTGCTCGTTGAGAGCACGGGCCGCATCATGGGATGTGGTGACGAAATTTGTGTCGACTGCGTCGACGACCTCCGGACGGGCAACATCGAGCACAACGGCGAGTTGTACGTGGCTGAGCCTCCTCGCTGGCCTCCGTTATTGACCTCTTCGCCCTGCTACAGCGGCGGACACGATGAGAAGACGAACGCCCGGCTCGAGAAGCAGTTCGAGACCGCGGCCGCCAAGGGTCTCCGGCCGTGCCCCAAGTGCAAGAAGATGCAGGACCTCCGTCCGAACAACATCTTCCGTGCCGCCGCGTTCGCGCCCTCGCAAGAGGACATCAACCGCGCCCGTCGCAACCGTCGCTCCCGGCCTGTCAAACGTCGCAAGGTCGTGTCCGAATCCGAATCCGAGTCGGAAGAAGACGTGAAGCCGCAGCGGAAGCCGGTGAAGAAGGAGATCGACATCATCAACCTGTCGGACAGCGACTCGGACGACAGCATGCCTGACATCTCGACCCTGCTGAAGAGCTCGCCAAAGAGCCAAGGGAAGGACAAGAAGAAGGCGAAGCTCGAGGACACGGACGAGAACATGTCGGGCTCCGACGTGGACGCCCCGAAACGGAACGGCAAGGGAAAGGCCAAGGCCAAGCGCAAGCCCTCCTCCACCCCTCGCCCCAGCCAGCAAGCCGACAGCCGCAAGCCCTCCGGGACCCCCGCGCCCCCCAAGCCTCCCTCGGACGAGATGGTGGCGATCTGGCGGCGCGGAGGCTCGAACGTCGAGCCGTCGACGAAGATGCTCGCGCTCGTCGAGTACCTGAAGACATGGGCGGCGGACCGCCCAGACGACAAGGTGATCGTGTTCAGCCAGTGGACGTCGATGCTGGACCTGTGCGAGCAGCTGTTCGCACGGTATGGAATCCGGAACCTGCGCTACGACGGGCAGATGGGCAGGGAGGCGCGCGAGTACACGCTCTCGCAATTCAAGCGCAGGGGCGGACCGAAGGTGATCCTCGTCAGGTGCGTGTCGCTCGGGGGACCCACGCAGGAGGCGCCGCGTGGGACGACGGGGGCGTGCTGACCGTGTGCGCGCGCAGCATCCGTTGTGGTGGTGTGGGCCTCAACCTCGTCGCGGCGAACCGCGTTATCAAGTGCGTCCCAGCCCACTGCATCGCGCGGCTCGCGTCCCATCACGCGTGTGCTGACGTCCCGCGCCCAGCCTGGACCTCTCGTGGAACTACGCGGCGGAGTCGCAGGCGTACGACCGCGTCCACCGCCTCGGGCAGGACAAGGAGGTGGTCGTGAAGCGGCTCGTCGTGCACGGCACGATCGAGGAGCGGATGCTGACCCTGCAGGACACGAAGCTCGGGCTGGCCGAGGCCGCGCTGGGCGAGGGCTCCGGCACGCGCCTGCAGAAGCTGAGCGTGAAGCAGATCAAGGATGTACGTCCCGTCCCCGTTTTCGTCCGCCCTTGTTCTCGGTCGCGCGGCGTGCAGCCCGCGCCCTGTGCCGCTCACGCCGCCGGGATTCTCCCCTCGTTCCTGTTCTCGTCGTACCACTCTGTTGTCGAGCGCGCCGCTGACGCTTACGTCCCTCGGCAGCTGTTTGGGATGTCGAGCATCAACAAGAACCCTCAGGACCCGAATCAGACGCAGCTCGATCTCTGACAGTCACACACCGACGGGCCGCTTGGAGGTGCGGGGTGAGGTCATCATGCTTAGGCGCTCGACTCGGCTCGAGCGCCATCACGGTGTTGACGGCCGCGGATTATTTAGACGACTAGGCTAGGTCGGACACGCTATCTTATCCACTTTGTAGTATCGCGTGCTGTTTGGATGGGGGATGGTAGCGTACTGTATTCTTTTGCTGTGTTTGGTAGAGTACTGTATTCGCTAAAGAGGTACGCGTAGACGGATGCTGTTTCGGCTAGTATATATCTTTATTCTGCTCGAGTCGTGAGACGGCGGTGCGTGCGCTCGCTGCGAGATGGCTGAGGAAAGCGTGGAACCTGGAGATTTCAATCGTCGACGGAGGACAAACGAGGCGAGAATTTGTCGAGCTCGTCGATCGCCGAGGGTGCAAACGACGACCGTTTCCAGCCCCCCGGGACTCCGTCGCGGCATGGCAACCTCTGCGCGATTTCAAACCTAAAGCCGGTGCCTCCGGGGCAAACTCTCCTCGTCGTCGTGCCCCGGCGGGACGGCCAGGAGAGGACAAATTGTCCGCCACGGCCGTCCTAACCCATCATCGTCATCATCGAATCATCGCGCACGAGCCGAGAGGAAGCGCAGCGCCATGATCCATCCGGTGGCGGCCCTGCAGCACCCTCGAACCAGCGGTGTGGAGTGCGGACGTCGAGCGGGCGACAGGGCGGGGGGCGGTCCGCGGCGGCTCGGAAGGCGGCCGGCCGGGAGCCGAGCGTTGAGTACATCTGGCGTCCGAACGGGATAGATTGCGCGGGTTCGGTCGCATGTGGCCCGCCGCCGCACTGCATGTGCAGGCTCATGTACAGCTGCCAATCTGCCGCCAGCGCCCGATGGACGGACGGGACGTGTGCCACTGCTCGACCCACTACTTCGAGTCTCGACCCAGCCCCAGCTCCGCGAGGGTGCGGGCGGCGCCCGAGTGAGCCGGAGCGCGAAGCTTGAGGGATTTTGCGGTGGGAGAACTCGGCGGGGATCGCGCCCCGGGTACGTGCTCATGTATGTGCTTGTGTGCATATGCCCATGTTTGAACGTTTCGGCCGCTGCTCGGCCCTCGCCGCTGCTAAGTGCTGGCCTGGGCAGGATTTCGACGGCGTTTGGAAAATCTGTCTGGTTGACTCGTGCTGCGAAGGCGGTGGATGCTTTCGAGGGGGGCACGCGACCATTTTCGTGTCGGACGTCGTTCAACGTTCAGGCTTCCACTGTCTCCCCGGCGCGTGCGCACGTGGCGTGGCGGCGGGCACGGAAAGGAAGGAGCGCTCTCCTCGCTCCGAGGCTCGATCGTGATCGCGGCTCGACGGAACGCGTGGGGGATGCTGAGAAGGCCGAAGGGAAAAAAACGGACGCGTGAGCTGTAAACGCGGAACGTCGCTGGCCGCCGCTCGCGCACGGGGGTGAGGCCTCGAGGTTGGCGTACGTACGAGCCTGCGTGTGTGTGTTTTTTGTTTCTCTCGCGCCGCCCACAGCGGTCGGCCGGGCGCCGTGCGTGCGTGGGGCGCCCGAGGAGCGCTCGTGGCCGACTACGACTTACATACGCCAATCTGGCGAGGCGGTGCACGGTTCGAACGGACGGACGTCAGCGACGACTCCGGGGCGGCCACCGCGCTCGGGCGTTGGACGACGTACGTACCGCGGCGACGGTCGAGAAGAAGCAGCCGCCGGGGCGCGGGTCCTCTGACGACTGCCTCCGCGCCGACTTTACGTTTGTGCGCGAGGGTCGACGGGCCACCCGCTCCCACGGGGCGGGGCCCACACCCCCCGCACTTAAAAGCGCCGAGGAGGTTGGGACTTGGCGAGACCGTTGGACGAGCGGGATCAGGCGAGGCACGCGCGGGTTCGGGGCCGTGCGAACACCGGGCCGGCGGGTGCCCAGGGCGCGCCGGCGGAAAAGGGGATCAGATCGCGCGCCGCGGGTTCGGGCCTCGGCGCTCGGGCGAGGGCTCCGTCGGGCGTCTGCGGGAGTTGCCGGGCGAGCGGCGACGGCCGAGGGGTGCTGCGGCGGGTGGCGAGAGCGGGCGCGGGGGCGCGGAAAGGGCGGCACGCGTCCTGCGCACCGGGAACGAACGAGCGCGAGGAAGAAGCACAACTGAGTCGCTCGGCGCGCGTGGAAGGGGGCGCGCAATAAGATGGAAGCGTCGGCCGGGGCCGGGCGGTGGGCGCGCGAGATGGGCCCTCGTCTGGTGACAGCGCGTCGGGGGGAGTGCGCGGCGTGCGCACGGCGCGGGGCGAGGAGGGTGTACGTACTTGCTTGGCGCGAGGAGCCCGCCGGGAGGGGGGGCAGAACGGTGAAGCGATCTCGCGTTCGTCGCGGCAACTTGGGCGCGGTGGAGGAGTGCCTGGGGAGTGGGCGCCCGGGGAAGGCCGGGGACGGGGGATGCCGCGAAAGCCGCGATCGAGTCTGGCGGGCGGTCTGGGTGAGCACGGCTCCTGTGAGGGCGGGAGGCCTGCCACTCGCCCACCGCCTGCTCGCCCTCCCCCGCTAAATACGCCCGCTCTCATGCCCCGTCCCCACTCCCGCTCCCGCTCCCTCTCCCCCGCGCCCATTCCCCATGACGCTCCTCTCCGGCCCGGATGTCTTCGTCAGTCCCCCCCCGCTTCTCCCCCTCCGCCCGAGCTCACCCCCTCCCAGTTCGACATCGAGATCAAAGGCCGCTACGTCGGCCGCATCGTCTGCCGCCTCTACGACGCCGACTGCCCGCTCACCGCACGCAACTTCCGCGAGCTCGCCACCGGCCAGAACGGCTTTGGCTACGCTCGCTCCCTCATCCACCGCATCAACCCCAACGTGCGTCCTTTCTTTCCATTCATCCTCACAGCCCCCTCTCATCTCCGCCCCCTTCCATCGCCCATCCCCGTGCGCGCTCCCGTCTCGCGCCGTCGCCCTCCTCGCTCCCGCCCCGCAGTTCATGATCCAGGGAGGTGACATCGTCTCAGGAAACGGTACCACTGGCCGGTCCATCTACGGACCCACCTTTCCAGGTACGTCCCTTCTTCCCGTCTTCGCGCCCTCGCAGATCGTCCACTTGCATTCCTTGCCGCATTGCCGGATGCTCGCCTTGCCCATACTCTGCCCCATCTTCTCTCCCCCGTCCCTTCGCTGCCGCCCGTCCCCGCCCCGACATCCTCCCACACTTGTTCCCCATCCTCGGCCTCAGTCCCGCATCTCGCTCGTCTCCTCGCCCTCCGCTCCTCTTCTAACCGGTCCCTCTGCAGACGAGAACTTCATCTACTCGCACGACGGTCCCGGCGTGCTCTCGATGGCGAACCGCGGGCCCAACACGAACTCGTCCCAGGTGCGTCCGCTCTCTCCCAGGCCTTGCGCCCGCTCTGTCCAAGCAGATTGCCCTGAACCGATCCCTTTACGTCTTCGGCTTCTGCCATCCTGCGCTCCCCTTCTCTCGCCTGCGGCATCTCGCGACCTCGCCCGCCCCGCCCGCGGCCATTCAAATCCTCTCCGTTTCCTCCATCCGCACCCGGCCTCGTGGTGCGCTATACAGTCAAACCCCTCATAGTGCATACCCCTCGGGAAGGCCCCCGAGGTATGCGTTATGTGGGGGTATGCAGTATGAGAGAAGCGCTTATCGTGGGAGATCTATTGGCGCCCTTCCGTAGCGCGCATTTCTCGCGCGCGCATTCAGGCTCGCGCATTTCTCGCGCGCGCATTGAGGCTCGCGCGCACATTCCTCCATTGTTATCTGCCCTCACCCCTCGCCCTCGCCCCCCTACATAGCCTAAGTACGAGTAAAGTAGTCAGTGATGTGGCTATCAACTTTATCCACCTCCACAGCCCTCCGGGTTTCACAGCTGAATGCACCAAGAGAAACCTCCAACTTGCGGGCCATTGGGCCCTCCATGAGTCCTGCATACCGCGCGAGAACTGCGGCGGCTTGAAGTGCCTCGCGACGAGTCGGTGGCGCTTCTTCTGGCTCCGGCTCCGGTTCTTCGGCTTCCTCAGGTGAGTCTCCGCTGGTGACTGCCTCCCAAATCTCCTCGTCCGTTGCGGCCTCTGCAAGAACAGCAGACTCCTCAGATGGGTTGAGTAGTGCGTTGATATCCATGCAATTGGATTTCTTGAGCATTCCAGTCTTCTCCAAGCCATTTAGGGCCTCAATAACCTCCTTTTCTGCCATATCAACTGGGTTAAGGAGGGAGGAGATACTGATGCGAGGGCCAAATGTTTCAGGAAGAATCCCCGCCTTCTTCCAACAGTGCTGAATAGTCTCAGGTGAAACCTCATCCCAGGCAGCATCTGCAAGTCGCATGCCTTCAAGCTGGTTGATCTTGTAGATTTCATCAAGAGTGATACCCTGATCGTAGCGGTTGATGGAGCGTTCAATAAACTTGGCACGGTAGTGAGCCTTGAAGCATCGGATGATCCCTTGGTCATCTGGCTGAACGTGAGAGGTGAGGTTGGGTGCAAAGTTCACCACAGTGATATGGGTGAGGGATTCGGGGACAATGTGGCCAGAGAAGTTGTCTTGGAGGAGAAGAATCCGGCGGTTTTGAGAGCGGAGCTTGGTGTCCCACTGAGTAATCCAGTCTTTATAAATGACCGCAGTCATCCATGCCTTGCCATTGTTGTGATAGTTGAAGCCGAGCTGTTGAGCTGACTTGCCTTGGAAGGCACGTATCTTCTTGTACTTCCCAATGATGAAGGGTGGGTGTTTGTCACTGCCATCAGCGTTGACAGTGAACGCATAGGTGAGTCGAGTCTTCACACCCTTGACCCCATGTAGGACCCGATCTGCGAGACCACGATCAGGTGGCATTCTACCAAAAATCAGAAAGATTTCTAATAGGAAAAACATGTGCTTACCCATAGAACAAACCAGTCTCATCCATATTGTAAATATCTTGAGGTTGGAATCCCTGAGCCTGGATGAGGGCTTGAATCCGCTTGCGCTCAGCTACAACCGTGTCTTCACTTATTGAAGCAGCTTCACCATGGCGTTTCAGTGAGTGAAGGCTGTGTCGCGTCTTGATACGATCAAGCCAGCTGTTACCAAGTTTGAGGTGTTCCTCTGGAGGGATGCCAGCAAGGCTAGCGAAAGATGTCCACTTGGCACGGAGAACTTCACCAGTAAGGACAAGACCTTGTTGACGGGCCTTGAGAAGCCAGAGATCAAGTGCATCACGGACTTCGGGATGTTTCGGGAGGAAAGTGCGCTTTAAATTAGCTGATCCAGGGATAGAGCCACTCTCATCCCAGTCGTGGCGCCACTTGGCTTCCTCCTTCACCCAGCGACTGACAAGGGGTTGTTTGAAACCAATGGCAGGATAAATCTTGTGGAAGTGAGCCGCAGTTTTGGTCTGATTTTTACCATTTGCATGGTACCAATCTAGCACCTCAATCCGCTGGGCAAGAGTCGCATTCGCCTTGGGAAGCTCAGGAGCAGGCTTTGGTTTTTTGACAGACTTCTTGGCACCCACTGCCAGCTTCGGCTCGTCTGAAGCTATCGGATTTGTGTTAAAGTCGGAAATTAAGTATAAACTAGCACATACGCTTTCGTTTCTCTCCTGCAACAGGCAAGACAGGCTCACCAGCCTTGCATAGTTTCTGGACAACTGCCTGCTGAACTTCAGATAGCTGCTTCAAGGTGGAGTTGAAGTCGGAGGCCTTCATCAAGCAGTCAATAACAAGCTGCTCATCAACCAGGTTGGCATCATTGTCCAGCCAGAGCTCGTCCTCATCCGAGATGGATTTTCCAGCGTGAAGAGAGGCTTGAAGGGCTGTTCGGCGCTCTTTCACCTGCTTCTCAATGACAGCAAGGCCAGATTGGAGGAGGGCAAGAGTTATGGAGGGCATTTTGGAGACAGGCAGGGATGGCTGAGGATGTGATCAAGTCGCGCATGAGCCCCGGGCAATCCCAACGGTTTGTGCGGCTATTCCAGGCTGCTGGCAGTCGGCAGTCGGGCATGGAGGGGCCCGAGGGTGCATGGGAAAGTTATCCCGCATTTGGGTGGCATGCAAGGCATAGTTGTAGGGCGCTAATACTGATTATGTACACAGGTATGCGTTATGGACCCCCCGGCCGAGGTATGCAGTATGCGGTATGCGGGGGGGTATGCGTTATGCCCCTGTACCAACTCGGGAAGAGGCCCAAGGTATGCACTATGTGGGGTTATGCACTATGATAGGTATGCACTATGAGGGGTTCGACTGTACCCCATCCCTCCACCGGCTACCGCTACCCACCGATCGGTGCACGCCGCCCGCCGCTCAACGTCCGAACACACCCTCGCGTCCAACCCAACCCGCGCCGCGATCCTCCAACGGCATCGCCCACCACGCCGGCATCCCCGCACCTGCGCGCGCCCCCGTCGCCGCTCCCCCGCGCGCAGTTCTTCATCACGACCACCGCGGCGTCGTGGTGCGACGAGCGGAACGTCGTCTTCGGCAAGGTCGTGCACGGCATGGACGTCGTCCTCCACATCCAGAAGTACGCCTCCGACCACATCCTCTACCGGCCCTCGGAGAACGTCCTGATCTCGGCGTGCGGCACGCTCTGACCGCGCCCGCTCTCCGTAGCCCTGGGACCCTCCGGGGCCGGCGGACACTGGCTTGGGCCTCGTGGTGCTCGCCGCTCGGCTCGCCTGCTGTTGGGCTCCCCCATCTCTCGCATTTCCTTCCATTCTGCAGTCACCGCACAATGCGTTCCCTCGCACGCACACTCTCACCTCCGGTCGTGTGACGCTGCCTGCGGCCGTGCCGCGTCGGACGTCCTGCGCTGGGCGTGTGCGGTGCTCCTCGTCGTCTGCCCGCACACGGGCGCGCTCCACGAAAAACCCCCCGGTGGCGGCGCGACGGGGGCGCGGGACGCGTGCGGTGCCCTTCGCTCGTCGTCGTTGTCTCCCTCGCTCTCTCGATCCCTTCGCCCCTCCACATCCTCCCCCCCCTGCCCCCTTCTCCTAACCCCATACCGTCTGCTCCCGTCAGTCATGTACGTCTCCCCGCTATCGATACGCTGTGCGCCCTCCCCCTCCCCCCCACGTACTTACCCCCCGGTGCGAGCTAATGCCGTCCACTGTACCATACCACTCGCTGTACTCGCCGCCCCCGCCCGGTGCATATGCATAACTTATTGCGACCCGTCCTCTTCCGTCCCCTGCGAGCTGCACCCGCCCGTGCCTCGCGCGGTCGTTTGTGTGCCTGCGCCAACATACCCGCGCAAACCGCCGGACGGACGGAAGGGAGTGGCTCCGATCGGGGGCAGGCGCGCGCCGCGCCGAGTGCTAAGTACACATGCAGCTGGAACCTGGAGGCGTGGACTCGTGGAGCGTGGACAGTGGGGAAACAGCCGAGGGTCGAGCGCGGTCGACCCTGAGCGAGCCGCTGCGTGTCTGCCATCCGTCCGGCGTTCTGCGTTCTGCGCGTGGACGGGCGGACGGACGTGCTGTACGTACGCGCGCAAACCCTGTGGCCGGATTTACATACACACGCGCACACATGCGTAGCACCGCAAGTCGGGGGGCGGGGGGAACGTTGCGAGGGACGGACGGGACTCGAGCGACTCGAGCGACGCGCCCATCCCCGGCGAATGCCGTACGGGCGTGCGTGCGTACGTACATCCAGGTGACTGAGGTCGCCCTCGGGCTTCGGGCACGAATTCGCAATCTTAATTTGAATGCGCTCCGCCTTTGCGTGAGCTTGCAAGCTTGGATACTTGAGTTCTATGGCCGTACTTATATATTATATTTACTCGCTGCTCGCGTCGGCCGGGTGTTCCCGAGGACGCTGCGTGGCCACACGCCGGGGCGACCGTCTCGGCTCTAGTGCCACATTACATAAAGCCGAAAGAAAGACAATTGAGGATTTTTCTCGCTCATAGAAACCCATAGAAATGCCCTTTCTGACCGCACGTGGATTTAAACCTTATAAACCGCTCCCAGAAAAATGGCGGCCCCGGCGTGTGGGCCGTCACGAGCCGAGTCGGAGGCCGAGTCCGTGCGCGTAACGTGCGTAGGTGGAGTCGGTCCCTCCTCGCCGGGGGACTTCGAAGGCTCGCGTACTTACGAAGGCACGAAGGCACGAAGGCACGCGCTAGCCCGGGCTCCGATCCCCGCGCCACTCCGAGCTCGAGCCTCGAGGGCCGAGGGGGCGCGGGTCTGCTTCCGCGCGCAGCAGGAGCGATCGGTCGAGTCCTTGCGCCACCAGCTGATGTCGATGAGCCGGAGCGTGGAGCGTGGACGGACGTGCGTCGTGCGCGGGTGTGTTACCGTTCACGGGCTGTGTGTGACGTACACGCTCTGGACTCCAGGCGGCGGAACTGCGCGAGCGTGACGCGGTGGATCCGGGGACTCGAAGCTAGTCGCGGGCGCGCGGGCGACTCGGGCTCGGGGCGGGCGGTCGATCAAGCTAGTACGCGCGTACGGTGTGCATGATGCGCGGGGTTTAGGACGGGCGGCGGGGGGGACGTGTTGCTTGGTGCGTTGGAGTTTGGTGCGACAGATGGTCACGTCGACGGGGACTAGTGCTCAGGCTCGGCCGCACGAGGTGTGGTTGACACCCGGTTCTGGTGCCGGGCGCGAGCTGTTCGTGTCTGTACCCGGTCCGGCGACAGCGAGGTGCTTGCTCTCGAGTCTCGGTATTGCTGTTGGACGTTGCGGGCGTGATCCTCGTGCGCACCGAGTGCGGGGCGGGGTCCCATGCAATTAAGTTAGCACGC